AAGGACAAGGAGGTCATAAAAATGTGTGTCTGTATATCAAAAAGATTTTTAAAACCGCATCGCATCTACGTGTATAGTTTGTCTATCTGCATTTTTTTTTTTTTTCAGATAATTTCTCTTTAATATACCTGTAATTATAACTCTCTGGGCATATCTCAAAGATAAAGCCACAGATGATAAAATCTGATCCCATTTCAATTCCTCTGACAGGCTTCCTGGCTTCACTTGATGAGTGCTGGCCTGAGGAGAACAGGTCCTTGTGTTTGCCTGTCACATAGCTGACGGAAGGCTGTGGAGGCTGTGTACAACGGCACATCTCCTGACGCACTCTGAAGAGCTGACAACTACATGCTTTACATGCCTCCGGATTGAAGGCTGTCTGATCAAGAAAAGCAGTAATATTAACATAATTTCTACAATAACAAATTTCTTCTATTAGTTAATAAAACATTTACTGCTTTCCGGTGTATGAAGCAAAGGAACAAATCAAGTCAATAACAGAGTGACTGAGAAAAAGACCAAATAATTACATCCAACTTTCCACATGTATTTTATTCTTGTGTTTGTCTGCTTGTGTTTCCCTCAGTTCTTACAGCTTAACATATCTGTGGTGCTGCAGGTTAATGTGCTGGACTGCAAGGTCAGTTTGAACCACAAGGTCGGCAGTTCAAGCTCACCAGCTGGTCCTCAGAAGCCCTGTACAGGGTTGTTATGAGTCAGAAGCGACTCAATGGCACTTAACATGTGATGCAAATGGTGATGCCCTGGTGATTCACTTCTGAAGGGTCATAGTCCTGAAAACCTTACGGATGGGTCTATTCTGTATACCTGAGGTCACCGTGAGTCAACGGCAGCTAACACAATGTTAGAGACACAAGGACAAAGGAGATACCATACATAAGAAACTAGGAGTGTCCTCAATTTCTGCTAGTAGGTATACTGCATTTCTTTATGTTGGGAATTCAAATGTGAAAGGAACCGCTCTGGTTTAAATTCCAGTCTTTTTGTTGTTTTGGACATTAGCCTTTGTATTTCAGTTCCCGTAAGATTCTAAACTACATTTGGTTTTTGCCAGTCAGTGGCACTGTAAAATCTCTGGTAAGATCATGACACAGAACAAGACTGAGAAAATGCGAGCCCTCACACTCACAAATGGGAAACCATAACAAGATTAGTTAGCATCGTTCTAACACGCCTGGACTCCTGGTAGGCACAGATTCATTTCCCTAGAGGGAAAACTTCATACTCTATTTTTCCCAAGAGGTGGTCCTGGCAAGTTTTTAACAAAACCTCAAAAATCAAAATTCTTCCTGCTCTGGAGAAGTATTTATAAAATAGCAGACTTCCAGACATGAGTAACAATCACTGCAGTGACAATCTTCCCTGTCTGTGATCACTTAGAGTGGAGAGCTTATTATTTAGCCTTAATATGGATCCTACCAACCCCAATGGTACTGCAACAGTTAAGCACTCTATGAAACAAAAGGTTAGTGGTTCAAGCCCACCCAGAGGGGCCTTAGAAGACAGGTCTTGCGATCTGCTTCCAAATGGTCCGAAACCTTGAAATCCCTATGGACCAGGTATACACTGCAACATATGGGATCACCATGAGTTACAATCAACTTGATGGGAATAGGTTATTTTTGTTTGTTTTAATTGTCCTTATAAAACAGAGGTGAATTTTATTCCATCCTCTAGTTTTTGAAGAAAGCTGCTGAGGTACTACCCTCTCTGCTATTTCTTTCATTCAACCCCCAATGCTGAGCCTCCCTTTGAAAACATGACAAGATGGTATTTGTTATTTTTTGGGGGGACACATCCCAGTTACCTGATGTTCTCAGTCTGTTCTTTGTGTTCCCACCCTCCCCCACACAACTAAAATCTGCTTTCTCTCTCCTCAAAGACAATTCTCCAATACTAAGATGCATCTCATTATCCTTTCCTTATTAACTAAATCAGTTCAATGATTTACTATCAAGAGCAGTGGTTAACACTGGCTAATGTGGGCTAACCATAAGGCCAAAATGACTTCGTTTAGTTTGAATTAATGTTTAATATAGTTCAAATTGGCAAATTAATGCCCTACTAACCTTGCTGGTGGTGGTGGTTATATGTCTGGTAGTTGGTTTCAACCCATAGAGACCCTGTATAGGGTTTCCGAGGCTATAAATCTTTATGGAAGCAGAAAGCCTCATCTTTCTCCAACAGAACCACTAGTAGTTGCAAATCACTGACCATGAGATTAGCAGCCCGACTCATAACCACTATGCTAACAGAACTCCTCTATTAACCTTATAGCTGGACTGATTCCTTGATCCAACCTACTGTAGGGTCAAGGAGGAAATCAACTTAAGGACATCTGTTATTTGAAGTGACACTGGATTGTAGACACAGGAATACTTGTCTTTAGTGTGCACTTTGAGATTTGGGTCACATTGATTCAATTCTCTACACTCTAATTTTGTCACTCATTTTGTGAAGTGTTGTGTTTTTACTGTGTCTAAGTACTATGAGTCGGTTCCGACTTGATGGCACCTGACAACAACAAGTACTGACACAACATGGGGTAGAGTCTAATGATGGAATGAAGGACTGCGGTATATTGGCAGGAACTGATATATGACAGAGAAATAGGGCTGGATGAAGAGAGTTTGGTATAAGAGCAAATTGGGGAAATAGGGCAAATGGAAGCATCTGAATAGGATGAGTCTCCCAGTTGCATGCCAAGGACCATTTCTCGGTTATGTGGAAAAGAAGGGCTGGAAAAATAAATAAATAAATAAATAAGAGTCATTTTTGCAAAATTTGGCAAAACTCTGGGCTCAAGTGACAAAAATACAACATAGGATTTAGAATAAAGAACATCCTATGAATTTCTATGCAGAACCTATGGTCTCATAACAATAAGGGTTAAAGGGAGCAAAATAGTTGGTGAACATCTATTAAATATGACCCCAAGCATTGATTGTACTTTTGTGTAACACCAGTAATTCATTTTTCCTTGTGGAACCTGAATAGGACAGCTGTCCTCCAGGCTTCAATGGTGGTCAGATGTCCAGGACCTGGCCAATCAAAGCACCACATCCCCAGTCAGAGTAACTGGCTCAAGGGCAAGCACATGATGCAAGACAAACAATGGGAGTCGATTCCAGGACTCTTCCAAGAACTATGGGGGAAAGGCATTCCTTTATTTGCTATCTATTTTATTTACTATCTAAAGTGGAATCTATGCCAGCCTTCCCTATATGTTGTTATGTGCCGTGGAGTCAGTTCCGACTCATAGCAACCCTCTACAAGGTTTCTGAGGCTGTAAATCTTTACGGCAGCAGAAAGCCTCATCTTTCTCCCATGGAACAGCTGGTAGTTTTGAACTGCCAACCTTGAGGTTAGCAGCCCGATTAGTAACCACTACGCTTTCAGAGCTCCTTTTATATATGTTGTTGTTGTTGTTGTTAGGTGCCATTGAGTCAGCACCGACTCATAGTGACCTTATACACAGCAGAACAAAACAATGAACAATGTCCGATCCTGGTAGAGATGGCCTATCTCAAAAAGAGTCTAACACAGATAAAAGTAGAACCAAGACACTGAAAACCAGAGAATTTTTAAAGGTAGATAAAAGGGGACAGGAAAAGACAAAGACTTGATAACATCATTTACAACTGCGAATGCAGTTTGACCTTCACGTCTGTTTTCAGCAATATGAACTAATATATTTCCTCCTCTGGGCCTAACACGTTTAGTTTGAGTCCTGGTACAGTGCTGTAAGATAAGCATTGGACCACAAGGTCTGTTTGAACAGACTTGATGACACTTACCAGCAACAAAATTTGGCATGGGTTTTTGCCATTTATAACCAAGTATCCCAAGTGATATAAGGCCCAGTTGGTATGTTGTGTGTATTACAACTTGGAATACAAAGAAGGGCAACTTTCTGTAGAGCAAAGTTTGGTCTGTATGTACAACAGTGACCACAGTAGCTGAATGATACCCAAGGAATTTTCTAGACAGTGACTTTAATCCACAAGGGCCACAGGTAGAACACGGACACCTGATTCTAAGCACGCATAAGAAACGACAAGGAGTCCCATAGGCAACTACCAGATACTTTCATGATTTGATACTACATGTGTGGATTGCAAAGCCGCAAATTGTGGGAATTAATAGTATTATTAGTAGTACTTTGGACATGTTGCTAGCAAGGACCATTCCCTTGAGAAAGACATTATGTTTGGTAAAGTGGAAGGTCAATGAAAAAGAGGAAGACCTCCAACAAGATGGATTGGCACCGTGGCAACAATGGGCTGAGCATAACACTAAGTGTGAGGGTGGCATAGTTTCATTCTGTTGTGCACAGGGTTACTATGAGTCAGAGCACCTAACAACAATGGCACCTAACAACAACAACGATCCATATCCAAAAGCTGACAGTGCCTGGAGACATCCTGGTTACATGTTATGTAAGGAAGTAGAATAGGCCAATTTGAACCACAAGGTGGGCAATTCAGGCTCATCAGCCGCTCCTCAGAAATCCTATACAGGGTCACTATGAGTCAGAACTGACTTGCCAACACTTAACAACAACAAACATTAAAAATAATAAGGAATATAAAATTAAATTCAGCATAAGAAATTGGACATTAAACAGATAAGTAATATACATTTTAAACAGTGGCTTTCTGCTATTATTACATGAATTATTTTAAATTTCTTTAGTATAACCATTTTGTATTATGTATGTATGTGTCTATAGATTTTTATTGAATACTAAATAGTTTAACAGGCATTTCCCCATCTATTAGCCAAATTGAAAGCACAACCAAATTTGGATATATGCACCACAGAAATGTCTCCAATTGCTTATATAACAACTGAATGTCATTCAGCTTGAGCTGATTACCTAGTTTCACAAATATTTTCCTAAGTGGGTTTGATCAACTACTTAGCTACAACATGCACACTCTGATAGGACCTGAGGGGCACACAAATCAAACACTCACCTTTCTTTCCTTGAGGATCCTGACAATTTTCATGGGTGCACAAACCCCAGGATGACCAGGGAGAGACAATGCAGTCCGTAGAACAAGGGATGCTGCAAAGCTGAGAGGTCAAAGGGGCAGGTCCCAAGCACAAAGTCTTTTCCACAGGTCTAGAAGCTAAAGGACAAATAAAGAGTGGTCATGTTACAATCTCTGGACACCTCCGGTATTCTTCCTGTCTTTATTTCTGTGTTTGCTTTGCTCACATCAACCAACCTTAGCATTTAAAAGAGTATATACCAGGAGTGGGGAACATCCAACCTTAGGGTCATATGATGGTGGTGGTGGTGAGCCGTGCAGTGAGTTCCCACTCATAGCAACCCTGTATTGGGTTTCTGGGACTGTAAATCTTCATGGGAGCAGAAAGGCTCATCTTTCTCCTGCGAAATCACTAGCAGTTTCAAGTGGCTGATCTTGAGATTAGCAGCCCTAGGCCAGTAAAATCATTTGGTCTGGCCATACCAAGTCAATCGCAGTTCCAGTGATTTCATTGTTGTTGTTGTTAAGTGCCGTGGAGTCAGTTTCAACTCATAGCGACACTGTATAAGGTTTCTGACGAGTGGCTGGTGAGCTTGAACTTATGACCTTGCAGTTCAAACTGATCTTAAAAGTCCAGAGCCTTAGCCCACAGTTCCACACCAGAAGTCTAGGTGTCACATTGTTGTTGTGGTGGTTGCTAAGTGCTATCGAGTTGGGTTCCAACCCATATAGGGTTTTTGAGGAGCAACTGGTAAGCTTGAACTGTCAACCTTGTGGATCAAACCAACTTTGCAGTCCAGCGCATTCACCCATAATGCCACATTAGGGCTCCAGGTATCACATTTGTTGTTGTTTAGTGTCAACAAGTCGAATCAGAGGTGAGTTAATTAAATGTCTGACCAATTACAGGAGGCTAATCTTTAAATTGATAATTTTGTATGGCTCACGAATGATATTATAAATGTTGGCAAAAAATCGGTTCACCACTCCTGCTATATACAAACAAAATTCAAACGCTCTCAAAAACGTGATACTTAACTCCACATTACTATTTTGGGTGAGCAAAGGAAAAGATGACAGTGATAAAGGACATGTATCGAGTTTCCTGCTTCACAGCCTATTCCTTGGGAATCCAAGAGAGGGCAAAGTATCATGGATACAAATTATCGAGAACTATGATATTTTTTTAAAAATTAAATGGTTTTGCAAAGTTTCAAAATGAGTCTATCTTGACTATATAAATGACTGGATGGCTGTGGAAAAAATCAAAATTGAAGCCCTGGGGTGAGGTGTTTAGCATAACCAATCTTCTGCAATGACTCCCCTGAGGGGTAGAGCTCCCAAAGACATAAAGAAAAATGGTCCTTAGCATAAGAGGAAACAGCAGGACCTGTGACTGCAAAATTGGCCCCTGAATATCCTTTTCACTAGTGAGGCTGCCTGGAGATGTGTCCAGTCTTCTACCCAAGACTTGAAGCTATGCAGCTTTCTATTTATACAGCCAGCTGAAGTGTTTCCTTTTATTAACACTGTTAATATGGTACTTGGCTCATCCCTCTTGACTGAGAGCTCCTTGAAAGCAGACACTATTCAAGATGGCCTGATTTGCAATGTTAAGCAAATAAGAAAAAAAAAAAAATGAGCGTTTGTGTCAGGTTTGGGCCTCTCCAAGAACAAGAAATCATAAAATGGCCATTTGTGCCAGATACAAATCTTGACAGAACAATAGAGAGTTTCCATAATGTTCTAACCACAGGTCCTTTTCCAGAAAAGCACTTGAAGCTGAAGGATGCTTCTGACTTGTCATTTCAGACACAGCTAACTCCTGTCAGACAAGTATACCTATGAAATCATTGTAGAATGCCCAAACAAGGTCCCTACCCAGGGTGCACAGAAATCTACTCTGTGGACACTGGTCTTTGAGAAAGAAAAAGTAACTTTATTGCAGAGTGGTAAGAAAGAAACCAGGGGATGGTTTCTCAGATCTGACTCTGAATATCTGAGGATCTTTAGATCTATGGCGTGATGGACAAGTAAGTTGTATATATTCATGAATAAGACTGGGGACTGGCTGAACTCATATAAGCTTTGATTTAAAGGGACATGCAGTTTTTTATTCACTGTTCAGGCATACAAGAAGTGTTTTAAGGGTTTGTGCTGCGGGTTTCATTCTTTTGGTTCCACTGGCTGAAAGATTCTGTGTATATGTGAGGGCCCAAACTAGTTGAATCTTGTTTGAGCTGGTTACTTCCGGTTTCTGAAAATCAAAAACAATAACTAAAAGTGATGATATGTACTACAATGAATTAGCAATCAAATAAGGTAACATTAGCCTCAGATGGGGTGGTTTTACAATGACAAAAGGCTCCCTGCTTTGTAAAATCTTCCCTTTAATAAGGAAATACCTATGACTTCTGGTGTGGCACTGTAGTATCAGCATTGGACTTCAAACCACAAGGCCAGCATTTTAAATCCACCAGCTGCTCATTGGAAACCATACACAGGGTCACTACAAGTCAGAAGTGACTCAATGACACTTAACAACAACAATAAAAATTCAATCATTATAATGTCCCTAATGAAACTCTTGTTGTTGTTGTTGTTGTTGTTGTTGTTAAGTGTGTCAAGTCCATTCTGCCTCATAGGGACCCTGTAAATGGTTTCTGAGGAACGGTTGGTGAGTTTGAACTACTGATTCTGTGATTCAAACCAACCTTACAGTCCAGTGCATGAAAAACCCGGTCCTTCTGTTAGTTGAACAAATGCCTTTGGATACTCCCAGTTTCCGAATAGCTTCTTGCTCAATTAAACCCTGATGGTTAATTTGACTTCTTGATTGTTGGTTTGGTTTTTTGTTTTGTTTTGTTGCCTTTCCACAGTGGTTGTTAAGTGCTGTCCAGTTGCCTCTGACTCAGTGGCACTGTATAGGGTTTCCTAGGAACGGATGATGAGTTTGAATTGCCAACCTGTGGTTTGAACCAAGTCCAGTGCTTTAACCTACAGTGCCAGTGGCCAATCAGTGGTTTTGTAATGAATGCATGATATACTCAACCAATGACTGTTTTGGCCTCCTTACTCCTGGGGGGTGGGGAGGGTGGGATCACACCTTTGCCCCAACTCTCAGACTCTTCTTTACCCATTCCCTGTTCATTAGTCTCATCTGGTCACTTCGGCCATCCCTTCCCACTGTCTCCATTGCCAGCTCTAGCTGTTTGACCAGAACCTCCCCTTAGCCTCCCCAGTCATTCCCTTTTTTCTTCCCAATATCTGGTCCTTCCCCTTTTCCGTCTATGTAACTCTCAGTCTTTTACATTTATTTTGGCAATTTTACTTGGCCCTATCTTTTATTTGAAGTCAATTCAAATTCCTTTGATAAAACAGAAATAATTTGATTGTAAATAAAAAACATATATTTTATTTTTTATTTTTTTTTCCTTTCCCTCCCATAAGCACCCCAATAAGGCCTTGTCCACTTAGAAGCCGTTTCCCACGGCTTGCATGCAGCTTTTGAAAGGTAGTAGTTGTTCTGCTTTATGCCCAAAGTTCTGCTGATCATAGTGTAACTTGTAGTCCTCACCTTTACCCAACTGAACTGGTACCATGCACATGTAAGGAGTCAGGCTGGGAAGCAGATGGTGTGACTCACCAAACCCATCCAGGATCTCTCTGCCTTTGAGCCTTTCAAATCTGCTTAAACAGATGGAAATCAATATAGGAACTATTCAGTGTGGTACTGTAGGATAAGCACTGAACTGCAAACCACAAGGTCAGCAGTACAAACCCACCAGCCACTCCTCAGAAACCCTATACAGGGTTGCTATGAATTGAAATGGACTTAACCACTTTTAACAACAACAGGATTACAAGGAGGCTCAAAAATTTCTGCAAGAATAATGTTATCTTGTAATTCTACTTTTGCACAAACATTTTGAAGTCCACAAGAAATAACCTTCTGACCATTTGCTCACAAACTCTGAATTGTTCCAGCTCTTATCATTGGCTCATTCTGTACAAGCCTACTCACTGGCTTTATTCTTTTGTTTGTTTGTTTGTTTTTATTGTGAATTGAGTGAAAGTTTACAGGCAGATCATCAGTTCTACATTCAACAAATCATGTACTTTGTTTCAATACAATGATTATAATCCTTACCATGTACCACCAATTAACAATATTTCTCTCTATTCATTTTAGCTTTTTTTTTAAAAAAAACAAAAAACAAAAACACTCAGGCATATATAATAATTTAAACCACCAAAGGGCACATTCTGCAAGTTGCCAGCTCTCAGTCCATCTCTTTCCATGAATCTAGAGTCCTCAGATGCTCCCTCTCTCCATGTCCTCATCTCTGCCTCTCCATCTCTGGTGTCACTGCTTCTCTGGATAAAGTCCCACATTCCGCTTGTGCTCTTCTCCCTTGATGGTCCTGGACTGTAAGATTAACTACTTTCCCGTTTTTGTTACAAAACTTCTTTTACAATTGTGACATTTGCAATTAGTCATAATAACAATCACTCACTATTGAATCATAAGAATCTTATTACCTTCTCACCAGACCCATCTAGACAAAATGAAACTATTCAGTGGGGACTCTTTCTTACCCCATAAACTCTTACATTAAACTCCCTCTTGAAACCTTGTAAGCCAGTCAGTTCCTCATTTTAGGGAGCTAATGTATAGGTTAAGGAAAGTGTCATGGGCTGCCAAAAGAACCAATAGATCTGTGTTGGAAGAAGTACAGCCAGAGTGAGTGTTCCTT